ACAACATACAGCAAAGGCCAAGGAGTTGTCTCCCTGAGCAGTGGCGAATCCGAGTACTACGGACTTGTTTCTGGAGCATGTCAAATGCTTGGAATCGCATCAACAGCAAGAGACTGGGGATTGTTTCCCAGCAAAGAGGTGACAATGGACGCTTCCGCTGGCATCGCCATGGGAAACCGTCGAGGTTTGGGACGAGCTAAACATGTTGACACTCAGTACCACTGGGTACAAGAGCGTACAGCAAAGAAAGAGTTTCGTCTCAAGAAAGAAGGCACCGACCGAATGTTGGCCGACGTGCTAACGAAAGCTGTCACCGAAGAGAAAATGACTACAGCTATGAAAGGCATGAACTTCCACTACCTGGAAGGTGAGCATGAGCTGACTTTGAAAGCGTGAACGGCTTGAGCTAGAGTAGGTACTTCCACAAGACCAAGATGTACTGAAGGGCTATGGGCTAATTCACTAAAAGTGCTAATCCTGACTCGGTTAACATCTCCCAGAAGTTAAACTCGGGAGGCGTGATCAGATGTAGCACCAGTTACATGTACATGACATAGCTTGTATAGTTGTATGTTTCACTGCAGCCGTTTGTGGTTTACTTTTGTGTTCATTTCACTACCAGAGCTCACGCTTCTACTACAACCTTCTACTACAACCTTTGGGACAGTGACTTGGGGGTCACAGAGTTTAAGAGCCTAAATTCTCCGTTCATGGGAGGCATCCGTGGCGGGCGCACAGATGTGGAGCCGCATTTCTCCTGCGCGCGCGTGTGCTTGGCAAGGTTCGTAGCTTTGGTAGTACTAGTGTGCAGCGCGAGCCGGCAAACATCCCACAAAAGTAGGTCAGGTTTTCGTTTATATCATCTATACAATGGGCATGCCCCCCCAGCTACAAAATAGGACAGCCCTCCCGCCTTGCACACTGCATCGGTCATAGTCTGGACGCACCGCCGCCGCAGCGCGTTCGGGACCCCGCAGCAATTCCGATAAACCTGCCAGCGCCGCAAGCTCCTCAGGCATGTCGGTCCAGATGTAGCGCGGTCCCCGCGCTTGAACACCGTCAGGCAATGTGGATGGATTCTGGGGCAACTGTAGAAGAGGATGCGTTCATGTGCTGCTGCAACATGACAGCCGCTTGTGCCATCGAGCATGGCTAAAGCTGTGGTCGGGTGGGCATTTCCAACCAGCGCGAAAGAAACGCTATTGGCAGCCCCGCCTCCATAAGCCCCAGCCTTCCTCCCGTCTGGAAGAACCTATTCAAGAGACTTGTGGCTGAGTTGATGCCCGTCGGAGATTTTGCATGGGAAGTCTTACCAGAAACCGAATACGAGGAAGCTGGGGTAGACCTCGTCTACTTTGCAAGCCGGCCGTAGCCGCCTGTCCCCCAGACCCGGCCACTCTTTTTCTTCACCGAGTAATCGCCACTGACGGCTTCAAAAAAAGCCTGGCGCAATGAGAGAATCGCAGGCTGCTATCCATGCGGAAGGTTTACAAGCAGTGTAGGCAACACCAGGGGCCTGCCTGAGGTGCACACGTGCGCTCACGATAGCTAAATAAATATATATATATACACAGTTACTATTATATATATATATAGATTTACTTATTTATATCTAAATCTAACATCTTAAAATATATTTATAAAACACATGTAACCGAAGCAGGTGTGGAAGGATTAACAGACCGATGCGCGAAGTGAACGATAGAGGAGGGTCATGAGGACCCTTCGCGCCTCTGGCGTGAATCCTTCCAGAACGTTGGAAGGGAGTGTCTCTGTTCGGCAGTCTTCTTCTGCAACCGCATCAGGTCGATGACGTTGAATCACGCGTGCCCTCTCTCGCTCATGACAAGTCTCATCAATGACTATGCCCAATTCCCGGAGTAAACTGGTGGTTTGACTTTTTCGTTACTGTGGTGGATTCACAAGCGCTGTGGCCAGGACCAACAGCGTGGGCTCAGACCACGCCCGAACGAGCGCACCGTTGGCTAGTGGAGCCAGACCAGCCAACACAGACATAGAGATCGCCATAGTGTGTAAGCACTTCTTGGCAGCTTGCTCTAAGAAAAGACTTCCAACCTCTCCGAACAACTCCTGAAGGTCATACTGGTTGTCGACCAATGTCCAAGCATGCTCAATGACGCTGTTGTCCATCATGGTTTCGGGCGCTCCAAAGCTATAATCACTATGTATAGTCAGTGTTGAAAGATACTTATCTCAAATGTATAGTCTCAGTGTTGAAAGATACTTAAAATGTTATGTGGGACCATTGTGATAAGATACTGCGCGAGCGTGCGTGAGCTGGCTCACTGTCAATAAAATGGACGTGACATGTCTATGGGTCCATACCGTGTAAAAAATATATATAATTTGGATGCCGGTAATTACCTGTAGTGCGTTGGCATGGCAGGACATGACAACTAGAACTTCTGCAGATGAGTGAAATGACCATGGCGGGCAACCCTGTGAAAACAAGAGCAAGCTGGTGGCAGCAAAAAAGCCGTCAAGATTGACTAATACGTGGAGGATGTATGGGGACGCAGCGGACGTAGCGACGTATAGGGAAGAGGACTACGTGGACGAGGACGCTCGGACCCCAGGATGTCGTGGAGGACGTGGGGGACGTCGGGGACGTGGACAGCAGGACGTCGAAGATGTGGGGGACGTCGGGGACGTAGCGGACGTGGACAGCAGGACGTCGAGGACGTGGGGGGCGTAGAGGACGTCAATGTACGTCAATGTCCAATTTCCGGTTCACTGTCCGGAAGTGCAAGGCTGGCAATACAGGCTCTGCCCACACTCCTTTGCCCACACAGGCTGCCATGATGATGCTGCTTTTGAACCATGTCCCACATGCAGCAATCCATCGCTTGCTTCAAAGCAATCACGAGGCCATTGAGGACACGCAGAAGCGCCTCTATACCACCTCCGTACCTCTTGGGTTCTCGAAAAGGAGAAGGACATTTGCTTCGGCAAGTCTCACAGAATGGTCAAAGGTGAGTCGGTGCAGTGGGACAATGGTGCGGCATCATTCAGCGAGGCCAGCCTTCTACTTTGGTACTTCACCGCCTTACACCACCACTTGGCAAGGCCAGAGCTCGGGCCCAGGTCCCGTGCGAAAGGTTGAGTGGAAACCGCTTGCGCAAAAATGGCTTCAGGGTCGTCAGATCATTCTACACACTGACTCCGCCAAGAGCTACAAGCTGCAGGTGCCTGATGTCTTGCGCGATCGCGTTGTGCATAAAAAGAAGCGCGTGAAGGTGGGGACAAAGTTCCGCTGGATTGCGCCGAAGTACGTGGAAATGCAGCGCCGCAAGGTGCCTGGCTCCAAAAAGGTCATCAAATGTAAGTCAGGTACCCAATTTATCGACCGTTGTTGGAAATTTCTGAAGGAGCGGCTGAACATCAATCAACACACCCGCGTCGGAAGTCAATTCTTGAAGCTTCAGCTTCGATCTGCCCAGTACGAGTACTAGCGCCGTGGCCAAGACCTCTGGATTGACACTGGAGTGTTGGTCCAGTGGTTTCTTGCGTCCACTGTACAGGCGGCTGGATAAATCTTTGCTGGTCAACGCGGCAAAAAGGTGTCTTCTGCCGCACCTGCCTTCCAACAAACTAAACCAGACACTTCTCACAACGCTATCTGTCTGCTTCCCGACATGCAGCCTCTGCCTCATTGACTTTCACGCACACATTCACCACTTATTATTTGTCTGCTGACTGGCATGCGTCTTCTGAATCATTCCTCTCCATTCCAACATTGGCTCTGGAGGGGGGGGCTAGCATATATATATATATACATACTACACACAAAGGAAAAAACCAAAAAGGAAAGAAAGGTCTGAAGAAAACATGAAAGCAAAACAAGTAACAAAAAAACACACAACAAGAAACAAGCAGAGACTCTATGGCTCCTAGAAGGACCCAGAAGGATGGACCCTGACGAAGCGCAGATTTTGAGGTTGGCCCAGTTGGAGTTGGCACTGGTGCTGAACTCGGAGGCAAAATCCATCGGAATCCGGGGTTGGATGGATGACTTGCGAAAACGAGACAATTCAGCTGGATTTGGTGTATTCCAGTGAGGACTTCAGTTGGCTGTGCAATTCTAAAATTCAGCAAGTAATTTGCATAAATACAGGCAATCTATTCCCTACTGGAGCACATCGATGAGCTCAGAAGAACTTTGAGAGCTGCTGAAGAGGCTGCTTTGATGTGTGCTGCGTTTTTTGCTTATTCGGCTGTTTATTCCTGTATGATGACAGGAAAAGCTGGACGACCCACCCTTGATCAGTGCATTACTCACAATGTCTTTGTGAGGCACAATTCATTATGCTGCGATTTGATGAATTGGCGTTTGCCACCAAGGTCGAGGGCGAAAACGGACAAGACCTTAATTTGAAGGATTGTTCTCAACATTGCATTTGAGAAGGGTGTTGCGAGCCAGAGCAGATTGGAGACAGCCCACAGAGAATGATTTAATTTCAACCAAAGTCATGGTTTCTTGATGTTTCTGGTTTGCAGTAATACGGCTTACTTGGTAGCGTTATATAGTAAGGGTTGTAAAATGACAACATGTTCCCAGACCGTTTTAACACCATCTTGTTCTCAGCATTCTTTGTCCTAACAAGGCCAAGATAGCACAACTCTGTACAACTGGAAGATGCCATTCAATCCTGAGTCTGAGTGTGCTAAAGATTTGTGATAATCAGGTATTTGCAAGTTCCTGATTCGTTGGCTCAACTCCTTGCTATGCTGCTGCGACTGAGTTTAGTTTAATGTTTTGACAGGTGCTTCTCCAGAGTGACTGGTATGCGTTGTCCTGAAACATGCTTGCCGCTTGCCACTTACAGACTGCCCAGGATCTGCTGTCCTTTGGCTCTTGCGCTGCCGTTTTGTTGACTTCGGCAAACACCTAGTGATGTTGCGATGCTAATGTTGATGCATATTTGTAAAGATCCATAAACAGAATTGAATGGTACCTTTTGGCCTTTTGTTTCATCTTGATTGGTGATTGTGCTTGACCCTTGTATCAGGCTGGCCGAGCAGGAGGCTGAAGCACGAAGGCTGGATGCTCAAAAGGCACGTATCGGAAGAGTGCGAGTCAATCAGAGTCACATTCAACTAGGACTCTAAATAGGTCTGGAGCAATGGCCTCCAACCTAAGAGCGATGGCCTCCAACCTAAGAGCAATGGCCTTGGAACAAGAATAGAATAGGTCTGGAATTTTGATCCAAATAGCACGACGTTGAAACTCAAGACTTCTTGGAGATACCGTAGGCCTATTTCCAATGCTGCTATTGGAATTGAATCCAAGGTCCACATGCTGGACCATTCAGGTTTATTGTTTTCTGTATTTGAATTTCAGGCTAGGGTTGTACATGGGAGATCATGGGAGCATGTGTATGGTGAATACCTCAAGCCTCCATTGACACCAAAACGGTTTTTACTTGATTTATTGAAATTGATTCTGTCATTTAGACTACAATGCGCATGCCAATGTTAAGATTGAATTCAGGAATTACTGAAGTCCACCAAGACCGGACAGAAGGTGGTTGAGAGATGGGAGGCGTGTCGAGATGGGAGTGGGTTCAAAGTTGACGGTGAACATGAAACATCATGTACATCCATGAATAAGAATCTAGTAGTAACAAGTGCATCGCAAGTAGTAACAATGCCTTACTAGTAGTAACAAGAAGCTAGTAGAAACAATAAACTAATAGCTTCTTGTTCCTAGTAGTAAGGCCAGGAGCCCCTAGTAGCGTCCTTGCTCCTAGTAGCGATGCCAGGAGCCCCTAGTAGCGTCCTTGCTCCTAGAACCAAAAACGCGCTTCACAATTTCCAGCAAAACGAGCTTTACAATTTGTGGCCGCAGTTGTGGCTGCGTCCACGTGTTCAGCTCCTGGCAGTTGGACCAAAAAGCAAAGAAAAGGATGCATCCAGAGGCCCACTTGTTGGTATCGGGGAGTCAATGATAGAGCAAATTGTATCCGATCCTCGTCAAAGATGTTTGGATCGAGGTTCCTTTGCTGGACATTCCAGTCGTGAAGCATCCGAAGGAAATGAGTGGCCAGGACGAGCATGCTGTGACAACAGCAGGAACAAGAGGACACTATTAGGAGCAAAGGGCATCGCTACTAGGAGCAAGAACGCTACTATTTTCTTGTTCATTCTCGCTCTTTTCTTTCTATGTCCTTGTATAATCTTGTCTATATTTTACGAAAGCATCAGCGCCCTGTTCAGTTCCAACGAGACTAGACTAGACAAAAATAGACAAAACGCGTACTGTCCTGTAGTTTACATATGTGTATTGAATGTTTGGGTAACATTGTACTCAGACTTCCTTGTTCACAGTTTTAACAGTATGGGTTCAACTGCTGATCTCACAAAGTACTTGAGGACAAAAAAACAACTGATTTGAGTTTGATTTGTATCGCATTATTGATGCACAGTGCTATATAGGAATGCACACTCATCTGCTAGTCTTTCAACTTTCCCTACATCAGAAAGATGATCTGAATGTGTCCGGCATCTTTCAATGTGCAGCGGCCGTGCCTGGCTTCCAAATGGCTCCAGAGATCCTAAAGCCTGGCCTGGCGGTGTCGCAACATGTTCAAACCACCTGCGCCTCGACAGCTTTGATGGGAGCACAGATAGGAGATTGGGAAATAGAAGGGGTGGTTGTTGTGTCGTCAGGGAGTCTCTTGCATTCACACACTGGAGCTCAAATTGTGGCGCCAAGCTTCGACGAACGCGCCAGACACACCAGCTTCGGGCAGTTCCCTTCGAATGTTGGAAGTTTGTTGGAAGATCGTTAAGAAGCTACTACTCGTAGGAACAAGTGCATCGCTTCTAGTAACAAGTGCCTTACTACTCGTAGTAGTAACAAGGACGCTACTAGGAACATTGCTTCCAACCTCTGCCAGATTGTGGAAAAGATCAGGGCGATGGCCTGTGGCCCTTCCGTCGGGCGATGGTCCTTCTCTTGGGCTTCACAGCAAAGCACTGGGCGCACAATCGTTGTACCGACAAGCGGAGAGGACACTATTGGATCTTCACCTTAGACTGGTAGACTTTAGACTCTATAGACTTCGCGGCTTCGATCATTCGAGAGAATTCCCTTTTCGGGGACGCAAGTTTCTTGAGCTCACCTGGAAACGGTAGAAAATGCTCAATGATAACGTGCTTTGCACGTTTTGAAAGAATAACGAACTTTCTTTATTCAAAGCAATCGCTGGACGTTATGAACGAGCGTTTTGCTGTGGCGCGGTGGCAGCTTCGCATCATAACATGGTCTGCCTTTGCGGTGCTGACTTGGATTACTGAGTGGTGGATCTCTGCTGGGCCTGGAGTCCCCTTGTATTGGCTTAAAGCTGAAGTGTTGGAGGGGCCCAGCGAAACTTCGTGGGTCCGTTTTGCGCGCCGAGGCTGCGCGGACGAGATACGTCGTATAATACAAGGCCCCAGCAGTAGGATTCCCCAGCAGTCGGATGCTGCGCAGCGCAGCAGCGGATGGGGGCGGCCTGACCGAAGCTCGTTGTACACATTGTGCAGATCAAGTATACAAATTCATGTCCGTACTTGGGCCCTACTTATAGTAGTGGCACCTCTAGATCAAATTGCTTGCTGCCTGTAATGTAACTCCAACCCACAAGCACGGCGCTGAACTCACAGGAATCTCCGGACAGGGCAAACATCTTGCACATCGCAGGATTTTCCTTCAGAGTTGGCTTCTCTGCCTGTGTACCACCACCACCACCACCACCGTGGGCCGCCTGAGGTTCTTCCCTGAACGAGCCTTCGGCCATCTCCATGGGATGTCTCCATGAGATGCCTTCGCTGAGCAAACGTTGCAGCATGCGCTGAAAAGTTATCTTAGACGTGTCACTTTGTCCCCTATCCCACGTACTAGTTGCTCCTGGCCCTCGTTTCCCCCTTCTCAGGTTTTTTTGTGGGTTTGGCCGTTAGGAGGCGGTGGAAGTAAGAGGTAGCTCACTAGTAGGAAGGAAACTGCTAAGCTGGGGGTACTTGCCCTTTGCATGGTCGATGAGTTGTGGAGGCCTGAACAGCATAGTTTGTAATTAACACTTTGCAATTACAGTGTGGAGCGATAGCGAAATCTGAAGAGCCGTGCCAGGACATTTCCTCCAAAGAGTTTCCAAACTATCAAGTTACCAGCGTGTTTTGGCACAAAACTGTTCAGGGATCTTAGGAGCAGAGTGGCCAGAAATAGGCAGCTTGTCAATGCTTGTCAGTCTCTGTTCCAGGAATGTGCCAACTCTCGAATTATATTTTGAAAAAAAAAACATTGTTTTATTAAAGCGACCCAAGCCTATACCAAACGATACCTCGAGTGATACCTCAGAAGTCCAGCCCTAGCCACCTCCCAATGTGTGGAGCCACGACTCACTGACGCTACTAGCGTTTCCTTCATACCATGCAGAAAAGAGATGGCCGAAGGCCTTCTCAATTTGTTGAAACAATGGCTTACAAGATAAGCTGCCAAGAAATTGTCGGGTTGTTTGTTTTTTGGTTGGGACCGTGTGGAGCGATAGGGAACCTTGAAGAGCGACACCATGCCAGCAGAATGACAAAGATGTTTGGACCACTGCACATGGTTTAAGGAAACTTGGCTCTTTGGACTTTCTTACTTTGTTTTGTTTGTTTGTCTTTTTAGTTCCCCCACAACTTGGTGTGAGGTTCTGGCATGTAGCTGTACTCCCGTGCTGTTCTCGCCCGCTCCTCCTCTTCCTTTTCAGCTGCCTCACTCACTCACTCACCCACTCACCGACTCACACACCTCAAACATGCAACCGACTTCCGTAAGTCGCTCAAGTGGGACAATTCTACAAGTGATCGGAAGCACTGGTCCAACAATGCGACGGAGGACGCGCCGAAGATGTTTGATTAGTGATCGATGACTGAGTGATTCAATGGAATCGTGGAGGATGGACAGATACGGATTTCACTCCAAACTTTCTTTCTCGGCAAATTGTCATTTTGGGGCCATTCGGTCCTTCAATTTCCTGAGGGCTTTATAGATCCTTCTTATTTTCCTTGATTTCAAACCACCGAAGCTTGGACGCATTTTCTGACAGGAGAAGAAGGAAGAAGCTCTGGGCACAGTGATGCACAGTGTGCTTCTTTCAACATCATTGAACAAACCAATATTGATCTGCTATGCGAACTGCAGTGGATCACCCCATTGAGGAATTGCGTGTTCAACGAGTCAAGGACCAGCAGGTCTGACGCTTACTGAGCCCGCGTGAGTGAATGAGACGGAGACTCACCAGTCACTTGTTCCACCTTGGACAACATCAGTCACTTGGCTGTGTTCAGCCCTGCACACCGCCAAGGCCCTGGTGAAGGGTTTGCGTTTGGCCTTTGAAGAGGGTGACGCAGCAGGTTGTGATCGTGAAGTCATTGACAACTGTCCTATACTGAGGTTCTACGTACCAGCACATTTTTGTATACACTATTGAATTATTGTGCAACGCCTTGTGAGCGGGAAACAAGGATTTTTTTTATGAGACTTTATTTTATTGTATACAGTTCTGCAGTTTTCCTCAATCGTTTACAGGATAGCCAGCCTCATCAGAACTCGAAGACTTTCACCCTGATTTGGTTCAGCTTTGTTTAAGACCTTCGCCACACCATCTTCGCGCAGCGATTAGCTGGCCGGCTATGGCGACCTCAACGCAAACAAGTGTATTCGACTGTGCGCCCATTACAATAATGCTAGATAATTATGTTACAACTGATACTTGACTTAAGGAGGGGGTTGTATGCTTGCAGGGTTGCGCTGAAGGGTACACCCCATGCAGACCCACCAGAACTAACAGAGTGGTGTTGACTTGCGGCACACGTAAGTGACCTTGCTCAGCACGGAGGATACCAGAGAAATGGTCAGCAATGTTTGACTCAAGCTCCTAAGTCTCTTTTGCAGCATCGGAGAAAAAAGAGCACTGCGGGAGGGATGCACCAATGGCAAAAGCAGCATGCTCATTTGCAGGCACGCCGTTGACATGTGGACCTGATCGGCATAGGTTGACAGTGTGCCATGCGGCTTGCACGCACTGTTTGCGTGCTATTACCTTCATTCTTTGGGCCAGCGCTTGATTCAATGAGAAGCTCCCAACTCTTGATATGGTATGCCTTATCATTTTGCTGGAAGGTGATCGTAGCCTGTAGTCTTCACTATTCATGATTTAGTTTTGCTGTTTAGGTTTTGCATGCTTGAACATCTGAGGGCTGGCTGATTATGTGCACACACCATGCATAATACAAAATAATTTGCTAAGTGTTTTGGACTTGATGAACAAAATCGTGCCTATGAAAATAAATTGAAACAACCAGGGAAAGAAGGACAACGCAAGAGAGATGACAAGGGAAGAGCAAACTAATCAGGCTTGAAGGCAGGCATTTGTTGAAAGGAGAGGAGTGAATGATAGCTTGCCCAAATGCCGAAGTTTGTATTATAAGCGTCAAACAAATTGAGCTGCAAACTTCAGTCTGCAAAAAGTTTTGGGGGCGTAAGTTTGGATCATGACTCCGCAAACGCGACCTCAGACTGCTGCCTTTGAGATTGAAGCTGTTGAACACAATTAAGAAAGGAGTTTGCCAATGGGTATGGAGAATTGCGGAGTGAACATTAACTCAAATGGACTTGGTGCCAGCCGGGCACAAGATTTGCCTTTCTTTGTTTGCGAACAGAAAATGGAGGATCCTTTGCTTGGAAGCATTGTTTTCATTGCTCTTGAAATTGTTTCTGCTGGTCCGCAAAGGATGACACGCACAAAACGAAAGGTGTACCAAAACGGACACTTGAAACGAACCCAACTGAGACGGTTGGAAGCCGCTTTTGCACAAGCCTGAAAAAGGTCTTCAGGCTGAAACCTTCAGGTTATGAGCCCAAGGTTGAAGGTGTAAGACCCAGCTTGAGGAGGTCGATCGCTGGGCCGCCCTGCGCAAGCGGAAGCCATGGCCATGATGGTTCGCCGACGAAGACGGCAACCTGGTGATGATGGAGAAGGAGAAGAAGCCGATCCGGAAGGCCTCCCACTACATGATCGGCAGCTGGAAGAAGAGCAGCTTGCTCTGGAGGATGGTGAAGATGGTGGGGAAGAGGAGACATTGGAAGGCCCGAAAGGACCGCCTACAACCTTGACACCGATGACCCCACTCTTCACACCGGAACAGCTGAAGGGACTTCATGAAGTGCAGAGCCAAGCGCCTCACCTATATGCTCAAGTCCCGAGGCAGAGCACTTGGCAGCCTGGTATGGCGAGCAGGTCTCCGGAAGAGGTGAAAAGGGAAAGACCGCAGTTCCTGCCGAAGGAGGAGGGTCCGGCTGGAGCACTACCGCAGACGAGTACAACGACGGGGACACCATCACCGGCACTGATGGGGGATCATGTACCGACGTGGCCGACCAAGAGAACCACGGGTACCTGAAGTACATGAACCAGGAAGCGAAAGTGATGGTCAAGAACCAGTCCCGATCCGAGAACAGATGATGGTTCAAGTTCATGGCAATGGACCTGGAGGACGAGGCCTACATGTTCCTAAGGGCTTTGGACAGAATGGACCACCGGGTTACATCATGCCTCATGAAGAGAGGAGAGGACCTATGCCACATCAAGGAGGATGGCAAGTTCAACTACATCCCTATGGCCCTGGTCCGCCGAATCCGCAGGAGATGATGACCATGTTGGCGATGTTGAAGCAGGAGAATCAACAACTGCAGATCCAACAGGCAGAGCTCATGGACGCCATGAAGTACCAGAGGGCGAGCCTGGAAGCCAAGGTGCATGATCTTCAACGTGAGCTGGAGCAGCAGGCCTTCAGAACGCCGGAGAGCGATGAGTCTGTGAAGCGTCGGCTGGAGATGACAGTCGACGAGCCCCCAAAGGAGACGGATTTGAGTTAACTCCCACGCAGCAGTTCGAGCAGCTCCAATCTTTGATGGGGACGGTCACTCCGACACCAGCGAAGCGAGGTGGTCGAGAGCAAGGGCAACGAGAGAGATCGAGATCTCAAGGTCCGAGAACCGCTCGTCAAGGAGGAGGCCAACCTGAGGGCTTGGTGGCAGCTCGGGCGAAGGGCTTCGAACTGGATGGGAGACAAGGGGCAGGAAAAGGAGTGGGCCAGGCAAAGAAGAAGTCCATGGCTGAGCAACCTGGTAGATCTTCGGCAGCCAAGGCAAGGGAAGACCAACCTGGCGAATGCTACGTCCAAGCTGATCACCTACTTGGTCGACAAGGACAAGAAGCAAGAAGGACCTGAGTCGGTCAAGCCGGGAACTGTCACACTCCCTGTCCTGGCAGAGCCATCCGACACGGCTCCCATCGACTTGGCAGACTGGCTCACCATGGTGGAACCGGCGATGACAGACCTCAGTGACTCGTCGGGCGAGTGGTGGGAGTCGGTGGTGAGTGAGGCAAGAGCGTGGTACAGGCAGTACATCAAGCTTCGTCCGATCCAGAGGGCTTCATCCAAGATCGGGCCGTCTGCAGAGCTGCAAAAGCCGAAGTGGGCCCGAGTGGAGAAGAGGGCCATCCCCTAAGTCACCGAAATTAGTAAATTTACATTTTTATTGGATTTACGTAAATTGATGAATTTAGGTGGCAAAAAGTGTAAATGGGTTAGTAAATGTAAATTTGATTTAGGTACAACCTAAATTTATTTAGGTTGGTCTTCACTAAGGGTTTTTCCTATTTTTCATTACTTTTGATTTGCAAATATTCAATCTAAAACACATCTTTTGAAGAAAGTAATTTGTAAAACATATAGCCACAAGTAGAGACATTTGGATAAAACCACAAGCACACACACTCAGGTATAAGCACGCAGGAAAGACAAGCGCAAGAAAAATAACTTGGGTATAAGCACCATGAGCTTTCCCTCCTTTGTCCTGTCCAGGACTTGGTTCACTATCTTGCGCTGTTCTTCTGTGCGTCCCTTCTTCATGCTCAAGGTCTTCTTCCAAGCCTGCGCAACATAGTCTGGCAGAGAGCCCTCAGACAACAAGGCCTTGAACTTGTTGTCCTTCGACCTGTCCTTCTTGGCCTCATCGCACTAGAAGAAGTCTGCATTGTCCTGCTCCTCCTCCTCCTCCTCCACATTCTCTTGGTTGATCCTCTTCAACTTCTGGTGCTTCCTCCTCCTGATCCTCCTGCAACCCTGCTGCCCAGCCATGAGCTGCTGGCTTCTTCTTTGGCTGTACGGTTTCTCCACTGGCAGCAGGCCTTTTCAAAGAGCATGCCTTTGGCTTTGGCTTTGGCTTGCTCTTTCCTTTTGCTTTGGGCTTCTTCCCTTTACGGCTCTTTGCTTTTGGGCTCTTGGATTTTGGGGTCTTTGCTTTGGCAGCTGGCCTTTGCTTCACAGGTGTACTGGGCTCTTCAACTACACCATCCATCGTCCTTCTCCTCAGGAGTGACTTGGCCCGTGGGAATCTCTTCCTCTGCCATGCCAATGCCAACAAGCTACTGCACCTATCCTTCAAACCTTTCAAAGCTCTTTGAGATCAATCTAGCTGCAAAAGTAAACAACAACCAATAAGCCAGCTGCGCAGTAAACTCTCAACAACTTCAATTTGAACAACATGCAATGCTGATCAACTCTTTGCGCAAAAGCATTACCTTCTCAGGTAAAGGATAAACCAACTTCAATTTGAACAACATACAATGCTGATCAACTCTTTGTGCAAAAGCTTTACATTCTCAGGTAAAGGATAAACCAACTTCAAATTGAACAACATACAATGCTGATCAACTCTTTGCGCAAAAGCTTTACATTCTCAGGTAAAGGATAAACCCACAAGAATGCTAGATATCTTTTTGCTGACAATATGCTGCAGAATATCATAGCTTTTCAAAAAATCTGTCAAGACATTGTATGAATTTTTGATGCACTTTTGATGCACTTCTGCTGTACTTTTCAAAAGTGTATACACTTTTAACAAAAGTGTATACACTTTTGATCAAAAGTGTATACACTTTTGAAAAGTACATCAAAAGTACATCAGAAGTGCATCAAAAGTGCATCAAAAGTTCATCAAGAATTCATCAATATTTTCACTAAATTTATAGTTTTTGAACTAAATTTCATAAATACATATCAAATACACTTCAACTCACAACAAAACTAAACAAGACTAAGCGCACAATTCCAAGTTGAATGGCATCCTCATGTAAAGTATACTTACACAAAGTCTCAACCACTGAAGTAAAATACACTCAAGTAAAACCATCCTCAAGTAATGTCTGCCATGCTCAAGTAAAGTGTGCCATGCTCAAGTGAAACCACATCCTCAAGTAAAAGCTCAACAGGTAAAGTCACACCCTCATGTAAAAGCTTCTCAAGTAAAGTCAGACCTTCTTCATGTAACAGCTTCTCAACATCATGTCACAATGCGTGCCCTCAACTCTACC